TAACTGAGTTGATGAAACAAGATAGTATGTGGTGATGATTTCCCCCAAAATGCTCTTAAAATGTCCCCTGGGATCATTAAACAGCACATGTTATGTTTTTTTTTGTTTGTTTGTTTTTTTTTAATTTTAGCGTTGTGAGCCTGACAGTATTATTTCAAATGCTGTCCTTGTTCAGGGCTGTATCACAAGTGCAGCGCAGATGGTCGGTTTAATGTACTTCCAAACTCATGGCCTGTTTCCACCCATGGATGTGAAGCCTCCATCTGCACTGTTTTAAGGATCTCTGTTATTTATTGGGCTGTTGTCCGTTTTCTGTTGATTGAGATGAGGCCTCGGGGCAAGAGAACTGTGATGTCGCCAACATCTTGCTGCATCATGGTTGTTTCATGTTGTAATGTTTGTATTCCTGTTCCAAAAGCACCAAATGAAATTAGTTACAACACAGTACGCTAAGGTCACTGTGGAAAGAGAAGACAAATACAGGAAGTATATCATTTCTCAGATCAGACCAGACCAGACTGCAGAGCTGATGCTAATGTTTGGAGAAGGAGAGTTGTTTAACACATAGAACACTGTCCAAACAAGGACATGCTCAGGTGGAAGTCTTTCCTTTCTAAACCAGATCTGAAACAGAAACCATAGCCCATCACAATGTTAATGTTGAAAAAGTGTATTCAACATCAGTGCGTCAGAAATGGAGCTTGAATGTTGTTTGGAGACACTGTTTTCCTCTTCCCTTCCCAGTGTCTGCAGCACCTGTTGCCTGTCTTAACCTATTGCTGCATTCCTGTCCTGTAGAATTCCATTCTGAGTGAAAGAATAACCTGGAAAGAAAGGGATGGAAAAAAACCAGAAACAAGACGCTGGGAGCTGTCAAACAGCGAGACACTTGGCCTGTCAGGGCGAGTGGAAGGTTATTATGGGAAGAGTGTGTGTGTGCCTGCGTGTGCACTGCTGCTGACGTGGCTGTGATCAGAGCGGAGAGCAGGCACAGACAGAATTAATCTGTAAGAAAAAAACAAGTAGTAAATGTGTTTAGTCTGCCAGTAA